GCATACAATGGAATACATGTCAGGCTTAAAAAGGAAGGAAATTCTGACACATGCTACAACACCAGAACACGTTGAGAACATTATGCTAAGTGAAATAAGCCAGTCATTAAAGGACAAATACAGTATGATTCCGCTTATACAGAGTTCTTGGAATAGTCAACTTCATAGAGAAAGAAAGTAGGATGGTGGCTGTTGGGAGCTGCGGGGAGGAGGGAATGGGAAGTTATTGCTTAATGAGTACACAGTTTCAGTTTTGTAAGATGAGCAAAGTTTTGGAGATGATGGCAGCTATGGCTGCACAACGATGTCAATGTACTTAATGCCACAAAACTGTGCATGTGTATGTTACAAGTATTTTATTTTATTTTATTTTATTTTGAGATGGAGTTTTGATCTTGTTGCCCAGGCTGGAGTGCAACGGTGAGAAGTTGCTTGTTGCAACCTCCGCCTCCCGATTCTCCTGCCTCAGCCTCCCAAGTAGTCGGGATTACAGGAGTGCACCACCACACCTGGCTAATTTTGTATTTTTAGTAGAGACAGGGTTTCTCCATGTTGGTCAGGTTGGTCTCGAACTCCCAATTTCAGGTGATCCGCCCACCTCAGCCTCCCAAAGTTCTGGGATTACAGGCGTAGCCACCGCACCCGGTTGTGTTACATGTATTTTATATGAGATTTTTCTTAAGTAGAAATGATGGAAAAGGAAAACAGACTTTAATTCCTTTATAAATAGATATGACCAGCTCTAAGTCCTTTGCTTTGAGGCACTCTAGCTGCTGATAGAGTGTGTTGCTATTTACATTTGCTTCTCATAACAATTCTATAGACAGTTACTCTAATTAACCCTTGTTTTACAGAGAAGAAAGACACGCTCAAATTCCCCACAATGGTATCTACTGGAGCTGTAACTTTGATTCAGGTTTTCTGGGTATGGGAAAACACTGACATTGCAAGATGGCCTGTAAGCCGTAATATGTCTGTGGCTTCTGACTGGTGTCAGGGGATTTGGAATCCAAGCATCTTCCTCAAAACTATTGCTATAGCTTTTGGCTGATTGATATCTTATTTTATAATTTGGTCCCTTTTTTTTTTTTTTTTTTTGGAGACAGTGTCTCACCCTGTCACCCAGACTGGAGTGCAGTGGTGTGATGTCGGCTCACTCCAACCTCTGCCTCCCAGGTTCAAGCAATTCTCCTGCCTCAGCCTCCCCAGTAGCTGGTATTACAGGCACCTGCCACCATGCCTGGCTAACTTTTGTATTTTTAGTAGAGACGGGGTTTCACCATGTTGGCCAGGCTGGTCTTGAACTCCCGACCTCAAATAATCCTCCTGCCTCAGCTTCCCAAAGTGCTGGGATTACAGGCATGAGCCACTGCATCCAGCACATTTTTCACTGGGTAGCATTATTTTAAATGCATGACAAAGTTATGCAGTCTTACTGAAAGATATGTTCGTAAATTTCCTCTAAAGCATATCTCTTTCCTTCATGTTTGGGCTGCTCCAGTCTTCACCTCTCATAATATTTGCTGTTAGTATTTGTCACATTTCCCATCCCAGTGAGGCTCTGCTGGGGATCTCATTATAGGTAAATCCAACTTGAGAAGAGTCCCACATTAAATCTGAGTGCCAATGAAAGAGTAATCTTTCAGCTAACGCCCTTTTTGGCCTTAGCCCACCCGCACCCAAGTGAAAAAAAAAAAAAGAAAAGAAAGAGTAATTTTTCTATGTGTCTGTTTCTCTTGATTGTAAACTCTTTCTTTATTTTTATTTTTTATTTTTGAGACAGGGCCTTGTTCTGCTGCCCAGGCTGGAGTGCAGTGGTGCAATCAAGGCTCACAGCAGCCTCAACTTCCTGGGCTCAAGTGATCCTCCCACCTCAGCCTCCCAAGTAGTTAGGACTACAGTCCATGCCTGGGTACTTTTTGTGTTTTTTGTAGAGACGGGATTTTGCCGTGTTGCCCAGCCTGGTCTTGAACTCTTGGGCTCAAGCAATCCACCCACCTCTGCCTCCCAAAGTGCATTGTAAACTGTCAATTCTTCATTATGAGTCAGGTCAGTCTCCAATTCTTTTTTGTATCCTCTGTCCCTCCTATAGATTCTCAAAAATCTGATTATTGAGATGGTGGCTGAAGTATTGATGGAAGCATTGGTGATGATGGTAGGCGTAGGTGCAGTGGTGTTGATACCAAAGCAAATTTCAAAAGTCGCAAAGAATAACAATAGCTAATATTGAGATGCTCTTATTCTGTCAGACACTCTCTTGGGTGCATTTTATTAATTAACTATGAAATGCTGAAACAACATTATGTGAAAAGTTTTATGATTCCATGTTTTAGATGAAAAAACGAAAATTCCGATACATTAATTGTTTTGACCAAAGTGTCACAGATTAGTGGTATAATCAGGATTGTTTGAATCTAGTTTTGAGTCTAAAGCTAGTCTCTCCATCTCTACAATATTCTACTTTTCCAGAAAGCTGCAGACTATCACTGCTTTGTAATTTAATGTTTTTCAGTGCAGCATGGTAGGAAAAGCGCAAAGCTTTTGAAAGAAAGATACAAGTCCCTGCTCCATCATTTCTAATCAAGTAAGCTATTTCCTCATCTTATATAGTGAGAAACTTCTGCCCTACTAATATAAATAAGAATCTCACAGATGAAGTATTTTGTAAACTGAACATTTCATGCTAATAAATGCTGCCTTTTCTGCAGCTACTTTTGTTCTTAATAAAATTTAGTTCTTTTGAGCCATTTAAAATCTCAAGCTTGATGGATATTTTCCTTCTGTAGGTAGTGCTTACAGAAATAATGCTAAAAAATACTCTATCTGAATCAGTATTACTCAACTAATATGATTACTTATTTATTGCTAAACGGGAAAAACCTGGCAGATGCCACCAGTTGGGGACATCACCAATAATGGGACAAGCTGACATGCCTCTCCTGATGTGATACACTGAGACATAACATCTCTTGTGTCATTACTCCAAAATCTAATCATGAAGAACAATCAGAGAAACTTATTCTATAAAACAAATGACCTGGACTCTGCAAAAATGCAGTATTATCAAAGACAAAAACAAGCAAACAAAAAGGCGAAGAACTTTCCAGGTTTGAAGAGACTGGAGACATAACTAAATACAATGTGTGATCCTGGAATGGGAAAAAAATTTACCATAAATGGCATAATTGGGACAACTGGCAGAATTTTAGTAGACTGTGTACATTAAATAATATTATTGTCACAATGCTAAATATCTTGATTTTGATCACTGTATGCTGGTTAGAGGATGCCCTTATTCTTAGGAGATAACACACCAGAGAATTTACAGATGAAAGGTCACAGTGGACCAGGCATGGTAGTGCACCTCTGTAATCCCAGCACTTTGGGAGACTGAGGCAGGTGGATCGCTTGAGCTCAGGAGTTTGAGACCAGCCTGAGCAACACAATAAAATTCCACCTCTGCAAAGAATACAAAAATTATCCAGGCATGGTGGCATGCCTGTAGTCCCAGCTACTCAGGAGATTGAGGTGAGAGGATCGTTTGAGCTGGGGGGAGTCAATAGGCTGTGGCGAGCCAAGATCGTGCCACTACACTCCAACCTGGATGACAGAGTAAGACCCTGTCTCAAAAAAAGAAGAAAGAAAGAAAAGGAGGGAGGGAGAGAAAGAGGGAGAAAAAAAAGGAGAGAGACAGAGAGGGAAAGAAAGAAAAGGAAGAAAGGGAAGAAGGAGGGGAGGGAGAGAGGGAGGGAGGAAGGAAGGAAGGGTCATGATGGCTGTAATGTACCCTCAATGGGCTCACCAAAAAAAATATAAATAATATAAAAATACTATATATGTATGGGCTAAGACACCACATTGGGATAAAAATTAAAGCCAAATATGAAAATGTCAGATGAAAGCAAAAACATCTAGTAACTGACCTCTGACTTAGAAAGAAAAAATTGTCTTATTTGCACATAGTGGTACTAATTTTCCAAAAATATGCCAGGAATCAGAGAAATCTAAATACAGATTAGATGTAAGGCAACAATCAAAGCAGCTGAATATTAGAAGCATTCGAATAGCACGTTGGAGAATCCAAACCGTGTTTTGAATCCACTGCATCCCCCAGGGATATCTTACGGTCAATACACAGCATGGTAGGAAAAGTTTCCAAAACTTTGGAAAGACGATGTTAGGTCCCTGCTCCATCATTTGCTAATTGGGTGAACTATTTGCTGTTAGCAGTTGAGCTGAACACAATTTCCGCAGCTTTGGCAACTACTCCCGACACACAGGATGCCTGGTGGGCCCTGAGGCCAGAGCCAAAGGGGGATACCTAAACCAGGCTCAGCCAGCCAGATCTTCTTGTGCGCCCGAGTGTGCATGTGCCCGTGTTCGTGTGTGTGTCCGCGTTCGCGTGTGTGCACGCGCATCTGTGTGTGCGCGCATGTTCGTGTGTGTGTGTGCGCGCGCCCGCTGGCACATCTAATACCTGAAAGTCCCCAATGCCTAAGTAACTCCCGGGAGTGAATGAGTAGGTGCATCCAGCCACAACCGAATAATCGATGTTTCTGGATTAGTTCGCAACGAAAGGGCCAGCGACTCTGCTCCGGGCTGGCCCTCTTCCTACCATAACAGATTTTCCAGAAATTGCTCCGAAGCACACCTCAATAGCTAAGCAGGGAAAGTTAAATGAAGGAATTCTTTGCTCCTAGGGGTCGCGGGGAGGAACTGCCCGGCCACAATGTCTTTCGAATTTCACCAGTTTCCATGGTCAGAGAAGCAGCGTGGCGCAACTTAAAATTCAGACGCACTCCGCAAACTCCGGTCCTGCCCATCCCCTCCTGAAATCAGCGCCCTGGCAGTCCCAGGCCACCGCCACGCGGGCACAGAGCTGCTCCTATTCTGCCCAAGCCTCCGGGAGGAAAAGGGTACAAATCAGGGGCGCCTCGGCCCCTCTGGGGTCGTCTATCCCCGGGGCCATCCCCGTGCGCGGCCGGCGGCTGGAACCGTACCTCGGGCGCGGGCGAAGCGGCACCCAGCGCGGTGTGGCTGGTGGAGTCCAGCCTCCTGGAGCCGGAGGAGCGGCCGCGGCTCATGCTGGCAGGAGCCCTGGGGCGCGCTCGGACCCGGACCCGGCCATGAGCGAGGTGGCAGTGCAGGGAGCCGGCGGGTGGCGCGGGCGTCTCCTCGGGCAACCGGTAAACACCGCGGGGACGCGGCGGCGCCTGGATGCGCGCCAATAGGGTGGCCCAGCCTCTGGAGGCCAGAGTGGACCCCGAGCCCCACGAGCCTGTTCTCCGTGGCGAGGGCCTGCAGCTGAGCGGCCGACGCTGCCAGGGCGACCTTGGGCAGTCGGAGGGGATGGGAGTCGGTCCTCCCGGTGGGACTCCGCGGTGAGCGCAATTCCAAGCCTCATCCTTAAGTCAGGGATAAATGCAGCCAGTGGTCAGTGTAAACGGTGCTGGAGCGAGTGAGGCTTAGGCGCCTCCACAAGGGTGAACGGAGCATTTATTTAGCACCCACTGTATGCAAATACGTCTGCCAGTGGAGCGTGCAACCTGTGTAGGTCCAGGTCCTGCGCTTGGTTTAATATTCTGCTGTCCCAGTCTTGACGTTTTTAGGAAGTTTTGAACAAGGGGTCCTGCATTTTCATTCTGTACCGGGCTCCGCAAATTATGTAGCCTGCCCTGGTGTGCGTTTTTTCATTTCACCTTCTCAACAACCCTGCCAGGATATATGGGTACTAGTAATAGCAGTGTTAGTAACAGCCACGGCTTCTCGTTATGAAATACATGTGCTCTTCCATGCTCTAAGTGCTTTCCGCGAATAATCTCCTTAAATGAAACAAGTTTATTATTATTATTATTATTTAAGATGGAGTCTCACTCTGTCACCCAGGCTGGAGTGCAGTGGCACCACACCCAACCTGCAAGACCCTATCCCTACAAAATGTTTTAAAAAGAAAATTAGCCAGACATGGTGGTGCACACCTGTAATCTTGCTACTCAGAAGGCTAAGGTGGGGCCTGGAAAGGTGGCTTACACCTGTAATCCCAGCACTTTGGGAGGCCTAGGCAGGTGGAACACCTGAGGTCAGGAGTTCAAGACCAGCTTGGCCAACATAGCGAAACCCCATCTCCATTAAAAATACAAAAATTAGGCAGGCGTGGTGGTACACACCTGTAATCCCAGCCACTTGGGAGGTTGAGGCAGGAGAATCGCTTGAACCTGGGAGGTGGAGGTTGCACTGAGCCAACATGGCACCACTGCACTCCAGCCTGGACGACAGAGCAAAACCCTGTCTCTAAAGACAAAACAAAAAGACAAAAGCAGAGCTATGGCAGCTTTTCTTGGATTCTATCAATCATCCTACATGCATTCATAACATCTCTGAGGATTTCTTCATCTGGACAATGGATTTTGATCTTACAGTAATTTTGCCGTATGTGAAATCCAGAATCATCTCAAGGCTTTCACTTAATGCACCATTAAAGAAATCATTCTTAATAAAAACTTAGGCTTTCAGAAATCTCCTATTAATAGTATAATTTTGGAGTGAACACATTTTCAAGTTGCAGTTTTTCCATGCAGTAGAACCACTACAAACTTGTTAAATTTTCAATGAACCAACCCTGCCAGAGGAAACAAAATTGATAAAAACTCAAGACACCTGGAAGAGAACCAGGTGGAAATCCTTCTCCATTAACTCTAACCCAATTGTTTTAGAATCCCATGTCATAAAGTCTAATTCTGGTCACTTGGGTCAACCTCGTATCTCTTATTCATGAGAATAGAAGATATAAATTTGCACAGTCTTTAAAAATCAGCATGACACAGATTTTTCTGTGTATAAAACAATGTGATTTTGTGGGAACTGGAGGCAGAAAAAGTACTTGGCTCAGCCCTCCCCAGATGCCTTTGAGATTTCTGGGATGTCAAGATACAAGCCAAGTGCCTTTTCAAGCAGCATTTGATGACGTGATGACGTCAAAGAAGTTGAGTTGGGGGGACCCTGAGGGCTGGACCTTGGAGAAGATGATGATTTGGACCAGCTGGGACCAAGGTGCTAGAACATTTCAGGCTGGGAGTTGGGGATGTGGGTTTCTAGGTCTGATAATAGTTTAAGCAAAGGAGGGAAGAAAAATATGTACAAATAAATTCCAGTCCAGACCTCTCACAAAACCCAGTGTGTGGGCAGCACATGTGGTCCACAGTACCTCAGTGCAGACCTCTGGCTTGGAGTTTTCTTGTGGTGTCATAAGTTTAGAACTCTGGTTTCCTCCTTTTACTTGTTTGCTTGTTTGTTTTACAGATGTACATGTTTCTCATAGGAAAATTTGTAATATGATAACTTTTGGAGCTTTTTGACTTCCGTTTAAAAACTTGCCACTGAAATCACTCCTGTGACATTTTAATTGTCTAAAGGTTGTTTAAGAGTGGGCTTCATTTAAGTATTTTCCTAAACACTTGCTATGATCTAAATGTTGGTACTCCCCTCCCCAAATTCATTTGTTGGAACCTAATACCCATTGTGATAGTGTTAAGAAGTGCAGCCCAGCCGGGCACGGTGGCTCACGCCTGTACTCCCAGCACTTTGGGAGGCTGAGGCTGGTAGATCACCTGAGGTCAGGAGTTCGAGACCAGCCTGGCCAACAGGGCAAAACCCCATCTCTACTAAAATTACAAAAATTAGCTGGACATGGTGGTGCACCTGTAATCCCAGCTACTCAGGAGGCTGAGGCGGAAGAATTGCTTAAACCCAGGAGGCAGAGGTTGCAGTAAGCTGAGGTTGTGCCATTGCACTCTAGCCTGGCTGACAAGCGAAACTCCATTTAAAAAAAAGAAAAACAAGAAGTGGGATCTTTGAGAAATGATTAAGTCATGGGGGATGCACCATCATGAATGAGATTAGCCCTTATAAAAGTGGTTCAGATTTGTTAAAGGATACAAAATGACAGCTAAACAGGAGGTTTAGTGTTCCATACCACCATATGATGACTACTGTTAACTATAATATATTACATAGTTTCAAATAGCTAGAAGGAGGATATTGAATGTTCCTAACACAAAAAAATATAAAATGTTTGAGATGATGGCTCTGCTAATTATCCTGATCATTATTCATTATTTGTATCAAAACTTCAGTATGGATCCCATACATTATATAATTATATGTCAATTTAAAAAACATTAAAATTTTTAAATGAAAAAATTTTCAAAAGCAAAATTATTTCTTTAAAAAGACATATGTATATATGTATGTTATTATTTACCTTAATAATGAAACAGAAGGTCTTTGAGTTGTTTATTTTTTATTATTATTATTTTAACATTTTTAAACTTTAAAAAAGTGGCTTGAGTGAGCTCTCTTGCGTCTTCTTCCATGTGAGGATATAGCAAGACCAGCCGGGCATAGTAATCTCAGCACTTTGGGAGGCCAAAGTCGGTGCTTTCCTAGACTTGTTTCACTTGCTTGCTGATCCTTACTTGAATATCTAATAAATGAACACTCTTCAGCAATGACTTTACTTTGATCAGTTCATCCTAAAACAGATCCCCTGTCCCTTATTTGTTCTATTGTGACATACAGCTGGTTGTCAAACAATTTGTCAGTGTCATTTCCAAAGATTTTGACACATTTTCATTTCATTTATTTTAAGGTCCATTTTCTATCTTTTCCCCAAATGAAAAGATAGAAGATACATATGACTGTTTCCAATATATTTCTACACCTAAAACAAATGTGATCCATCTTATAACTTTACTATAAGCTAAGCTTACAGAATCATTGAGAGCTCACTTTATGAAAAATAATTTAAAGACCTTCTATTTCATTATTAAGGTAAATCATAATTGTTATTTTAAAAAGCAGAATCTTTCTTATCAAAAATTTAAAGTACATTTCAAGACATTGTAGTTGGGTAAATATAAGGTTCTAAAAAACACCTATAATAAATATATATTTTCTGGCCCTATATGATGTTTATTTGACTTTAAGTTATATATATACATATATATATATATATATACACACACATACATATATATATATATATATATACACACATACATATATATATATATATATGTATTTTTTTTTTTTTGAGACAGAGTTTCGCTCTTGTTACCCAGGCTGGAGTGCAGTGGCATGATCTTGGCTCACTGCAACCTCCATCTCCCAGGTTTAAGCAATTTTCCTGCCTCATCCTCCCAAGTAGCTGGGATTACAGGCATGTGCCACCACATCTGGCTAACTTTGTATTTTTAGTAGAGATGGGGTTTCTCCATGTTGGTGAGCCTGGTCTCAAACTTCTGACCTCAGGTGATCCACCCGCCTCGGCCTCCCAAAGTGCTGGGATTTCAGGCATGAACCACCTCACCTGGCCAAATTTCCACTTCTTAATGCTTATCTGGAATGAAAATTTATATGTTTTAAGTTTGAAAATGTCATTTCCACAGATGGGTACTGCTAACTATTGATTTCAGTTCATAAGCATGTGATTCAAGTTGAGCATATTAATCACTCAGAAGGCATCTATAAATTTACCTTAGATTATTCTGTTGATATTTATCTTTGAGCATGTCATTATGCTGCAGATTAAAAGCTTCCAGTTGAAGTTTAGATGGAAGCTCTTCAACTGCAGTTGAATGCTAATATATTTTTGAAATATGGGAATTTCCTTTGCATATGCATTGAGGGCTGAATATTGTGTGAGAATGAAGATTTCACATCTTGTTTTAAATTTCAGCAGCACAGAAAGCATATAGAGCAGCTTGACAGCTTGTCCTCTGAACAATATTAGCAGTTATTGTATATAGCACTGTCTTACCTTGTAATTCTACCTTGAATTGATTAACAAATATTACCAGCTCTACACCAAAAGCTAATTTCCAAAACCGTTCAGTATTCGATAATACTGATTGAAAGCTGTGTTTCTTATTTGGAAAACTTTCAATCTAGCCCTGAGTTCAAAAAATTGAAATAAAACATTGTCACCACTGATCCATTAAATTTCTGTGCATCAGAGCAAGTCAGGATATACAGTTTCTATTTCTGGCAAAAAAACTTATAAAAGTGACAATGGTTAAGTCCACAAGCGCAATAAAGTTCAACATTTACACTGCTGGTTTAATAATGCCTGATAAATACAAATATTTTCTGTGATGTGTTTGCTGATGAATAATATAATGAGTAACCATAGGTTTTTCATTTTCAAAAGCTTTGTAAATGTATTCGATTAAACCCTTTGTAAATGTATTCGATTAAACCCAGAAACACATATTTTTACCATCAACACATATTTTTACCATCATCAGTTGTAACACATTGGATTCTACTTCAGATTGTAATGAGTTTGTGTT